GCCCCGCCCCTCAGCCCGGGAGTGGCCGGATCTTACCTACCCAGCGTCAGCAGCGCAGTGGGACGAAGTAATAAATTCCCTTTATCTACTTTTATTATTCTATAGCACTGCACAACGGGCTTCAAGCACACGGGTGGGCAGAACTGTGGAGGTAGCCGGAAAGAGAATAAACGCACGAAACAAAACTAATGTTTCTTGCATTACCAGCTTGTACCCATAAGTGAACTCTATGTGGGCCATGCAGGCCCACCTCAGATGTGGTTTTCAAGAATAAATCTGTACAAAAGCTCTCCTTGCCTCTCCTGAGCACCAGTTGGTGTCTCCAGTTGTCTCCAGTCACATGAGTTGGCAAGGAAGGGAAGGTGTGAGGTAGGGTGAGGGCTTGCTGGAATGTGCAACTGACCTTGCAGCTTCCTGCTTGGCCCCAGATGATTTTCCTACGGCAGAGAAGTAGCTTCAGGARCAACACACATCTTCAAAGGAAGTAAAATTGCTCTGGAGTTCCCTCCACTGCAAATAGTCCCATCCCGCTCCTTATAAAGTTCCACCTTTGAGCTAAGAACGGCTAAGAGACATTTCATTTCAAAAGGAGAATCTTCAAAGAGATAAAAGTTTTCACAACCAGAGTAGCTCCAGCCTGTCATACCTGTCGTAAAACTACAAAAGGTAACTAAAACCAGAGATATAAAACAACTGCTGGAGAGCCAACACGTGCTTGTGCAAGAACAGCATGTTACAATTTCAGATTTCTCTCAGTTCATTGATCATACCTAAGAAAATGTGTCATGATTAAAGCCTTTGTCTCTGGGATATTTAAACAAATCCCCATTGCCTTCTTCTGAGGAACGTGGAGCTGCTCATAGCACAGTCCATGTGTGTGTGCTGTGTCATACCTGGCTGTGTCACCCTGCCCACCGATGACACCAGGGACAGACTATGCCAGAAATCTGGTGAGATAGCACCARCGTAACCCCCAGGATGCTACCAGAGAAAAGGATACTTTTTGGTGAGTCAGCTGCGATTCAGGGCTGTTTGTGCAACACCGCTGAGGAAAGGAGCAAACACTGTTTCCGGTGACATGTGGCACTCCCAAATAKTGATAAGTGACATTTTAATGTTGGGAATGGGTCTGCACAGGTATTCCAGAGTTCATTTCAGTAGCAGAAACTACATACGTGGTTTAATGATAATGTTCATGTTGACTTGTTGAAGTCTAGGGAATAATTTTTTCTCCATAGCAGCATCTGCAGTTCAGATGTGACTATATGGGAACAGTTATACTGACAAAAGCACTTATTTACGTCCCCACTAATTCCAGAATTCTAGTAGTGTACTTAATTTGGTAAGTGACAGTGCTCAGACATCATCAGCCAAAAAGGAAACCAAAAAAAACAACCAAACAAAAAACAAACCAACCAAAACCAACAGAAAATGGTAGAACTGAAAGGAAGGAAAAGAAAGAAAAAAGGAAATGAAAAAAAAAAAAAGGGGGGGAGGGGGGGAAGGAGTTAAATGGCTTCACAAGAACCACCCAGCTTGCCCAGCAGTGGAGGCAAAACTCATGAGTTTTTAACGTATCAGACATATGAGGCACTAAACACAGCTGAACTGCAAGTTCAAGGAGTTCCACAGAGAGCAGCAAAGGGTCACAGGAGCCCTCAGACGAGAATGGTGAGCTCCACAGTCTATTCTACTCTATTTTTTTCACGGCTTGGTCTAACCCTGGGTCTCATACAGAAAACAATGTTCAGAAGATGTTAATGAGATTAAAAGGTAAGGTAAAAGTAAAGTAGTCTTTTGGATCAGATGGTTCTGAAAGYAGCTAAGAAAGCAGTTTTCTTAAGGAATGAATGTTTGATTTGATTTTTTCTTTTTGTTTAGCCAGTATCAAGCACACAAACACAGCTAACACTGAARCCAAGGTGGCTTCATGCACATTAAAATAATTGCCTAAAAAGACCAGGAAGACACTTCTTCAAATTTCCCCAATGCAGCAAATCCCCAAGAACAGAAAAACCATCCCAAACACCCAACTTACTATTAAAGGTCAACATATATGTTCCAAAGTTCAGGCAGGCTTCTGATGGCCAGTGAATATGGAACAATGCAGGATCAAGTTGAAGAACCTTGTAAGAGGATCCTTTTACTTCTGATGCAGAGGGAAGTTTCAGCTCAGAAACAACAACAGATACAACACAAAGACGTTGGTTGGGCAGTGTGTTACATGGACACACAGGGTCTTGCAGCCAGCCCTAACACCCTCAACTGTACAAGGAAAACCCACACACAAACACAGCAGATGCCAGTGCATTCATGTAATAAGATTTATGTAAAGGGAAAGCAGAGGGAACTGGGAAAAAAATGTGATAGAATTGTCTTTACTGGCAGAGTGAATCATATAACTGAACTATTCTTTAAAGGAACAGCACAGATTCTAGCTCAGAGACATTGCTAGGCTTGGCTGTTACAGGTTRTTGAAAGGCAATTTGATTACACAGTGCAAGTTGGGGAGAAAATGCCAGGTTTAGGAGCTCTAATCAAGGGGGGAAAGGCATAGCAAGAAACAGAACAATGCTGAGAGCTGGAGWTAGAAAAATTCTAATGAGTCATTTGTTACAGAGTGATTATCCTCTGGAAGAAAATGCTAAAGAAGGAGTSTATTCTCTATCTCTTTATGTCCTTCGATCCACATTTGATTGCCTTTCTATAAAGTGCATTATTGAATTCAACATGAGCTATTGCACTCCTTGCAGAGAAAACGGGGTGTAATTTGATGTTACAGGAGGTCAGAGTAGGTGGGTAAAAGTCCTAGCCCTGAAGATACGAGTTCTTACTCTGCTTACCAAGCACACATTTTCTGCACTATCTCAGTTGTTAGACTGATTTCAGWACAGCCCCTAGGAAAGCACATTACAACAACCTAGTCTTGAAATGGTGATTACAAAACAGGAGTGTCCCCATAGCCCAGCTGATAAAGATGGACTATAATAATAATAATAATTTTCCTAGGTACTGAGGATACTATGTTCTGTCTAAAAGCTAGGACTCTCCCTCACGCTGGGATCACTACCAGGAGGTGTGTGGATACACTGAAAAGCAAGTCTGAAGCAAGTCTGATCTCAGCTAGATYATCCTTCTGCTTCTTCCAGGTTATGCATGTCATCTCTGCTCCAGAATGAGCTTTGGCCAGTTCCTGCAAAACTGAGCTAACAGACATTAGTAGAACTGAGAGAATCAGCAGCCTTCCTGCAGAGTAGTGAGGTAGCCTTGGGCATGTCTCTGAAAATCCCTCAGCCCATACCTCATCACTGTCTGGTCCCAGTGGCCACAAACACAGTGYTGTCCAGGTGAGACTAAAGCAAACCAGGCACCAGTCCTGAACCACGCTGAAGGAACTTGCAGGCATCTGGCTGCACATTCAGAGGGGAAAGAACAGACTCACTTGTTAGCAGCCCTGCCCTCTCCCAGTGCAGTCAACAAAGCTTATCCCTTCAGGGATTATTTTCTTCCTTTCAGTATTTTGTTAGTATCTTAAAAGCTTGAAAATGTTTATTTTAGTTTATCCTACTCTGCACTTATTGATTTTTCCTCATCTCCAGATTTCTAGAGAGGGTCAGTATGAGCAGAAGTGCTTCTGTTTGACAACAGCTATAACTTAWCTTTGAGGAAATAAACCCACATTTGCCAGTACACCAATATAAACTTCAGTGACATAGTCCAGTAGCTGGTCCAGGGGCTGTGGCTAACCTGCAGGAARCTTATGACCAGACTCCCACCTTCTGTCCTAAAGGCCCATGGCTGTTTGTAGAGAATAGGGGATTGGACCACCTGTGGAAGKCAAAACCCAGATATAATCTCTGTTGATAACCAAGTTGGACCTTAACTAGTTTAAGCAATTACTACAGGCTGAGGAACTGCCCATCAAGAGAACATCACGTTGCTCTTTTGGAAATGATGGAAATTATCTCTAACCTATCTTGTTTGAAATCCAGATTTCTTATTTGTTAATAAAAATCTTGGAAAACACTCCCACTTCTTTGTCTTCAGAAAGTCACAGCAATTTCTAAACCATAACTGTCAAAGGGCTGGAGTCTCCCTGAAGTAATGCTTTACCGAAATGTCCACCACTGTAGCCACTACCATTATCCAGGCCAGTAG